GCAACAGCCCTCAATGTCTGCAAATCAACAAAAACTGAATTGTTTTGGCATCTGTCTCATTAGAAGGAAATAAAGGTTATAGGAACGGATTCTATTTAGTACAGTACAGTTATTATGAAAACAAACAATATAAAAAAAACAAGTAAATTAGAACTCTTTCTAAATTGCACTTTATTTTTAAACAACACAACATTATCAATACATGTTTAAAAATCTAATAACTATTCACTAGTGTAGAAATTGACTAACACTTGCATATTCTTTTATATGTTATAGAATTTAAGATGATGTTTGGTAAGTAGAAAGAGTTCTTATAAGAATACCACCAGTGCTAAATAGGCAAGATGCCAAATTTACATTACACCTCGAAAACAGACACAGTCTCACCCATGAGCAAATCCTAGATTAGCCAGACAATTGACACACAAGAGCTGTATTGTTCAAAGTATGCTTAGTATTATTCTTAGAACTATCCTTATTAGAACTATGGTCATAGTTTTGGAGAGGTTATTTTACAAGCAACAATAATATAAAAGTTTCTTTTTTTTTCTAGAATAAAAACATGCAATGGAGTTAGTGCAACTTAATTCTCCTTATATTTATGGGAAAGCCATATATGAACATCTGTCCAAACCATCAAAGTTTTATGAGACAAATATCTATGATTTGCCGACATATAGAGTACTACAGTGTTACGTCACGATACCGTGTGATACTACTCAGTTGCTATCGTTGCAAAAAGCATTCAACCAGGCGTCATCTTCTCCATTAACAAACCATTGATCCTAAATTCTAACGTAATTATTAAGATGTTGTATCTTACTTTTTCTTTGTAAATTTTAATTGATGATTAAATGTGTGTTTGATAACTAATATAATGCAAACTTTTATGTTTTTAGTACACTTTGATGGTAAAATATTAGATTTCAAAATGCCTATTCCAGAAAGCCTATGAAGTCATTCAGGCATAATTAACGGTGACCAACGTCTGTTGACAACAGAGAGCGCCCCCTGGCATCGTGACAACACGACTGTGGTACTCTATGGGCACGATGATGTCATATCATACCCATACACAGGCAAATCATAAGTACTTGATAGTGTGAGCATGTCTTTAGGAACCATGCTTGTTTACTCTTGTCACAGACAATATATATTCTGTGGCAACAACTTATAGATCCTAGCTAATCAAACTAATGACAGGGTTTGAAGAAATTATTTATGAATGATATATTAGTAATATTGCTTATTATTATGAATAGACACAATTTATTATTTATAATGCACTATGGTTAACAATATAACACCATTCTGATCAAAATACTATTTTATTAGAAATTCTAACAACTTTGTTTTATTAAATAAACATTTAAACTACACTGCACATTGACAAATCAATCTATTTCTTAATAATGAAAAATAAACTTGCCTCATAGCTTCTACAATACAAGAATCAGAATACAAATTATAAAAAATGTATAAAATAGTGCATAATTAATTCAACTTATAACAAGGGATGATTATTAGTACAGTATAAAGTGTAGAACCTTTTACAGCATAATTTATATATTTTGCATTTCTTTGTTTCCAGTTACAGTAAAATGAAAGAAATATCAACTGAGTCAATGTAAACTATAGAGGGCTAACTTCACAACTGAGTTATTCTGATTAATAGAATAATTTACACAAACGACATACAATTTTTGGTTTAAATATATATTATATATTTGAATTTTTCTATATTGCACAAGGAAGATTGCCATAAATAAACACAAACATTAAGTAAATATAAATAATAATCTTCAATATCTCAAGTTAACATATTTACTGTACTGTTTACTGTATCTTTTGGGTTTCATTCATTTATCAAATGTATTATAACACATAAATTTCAGTGTTGTATTTAAAGTTTCAAAGTAAAATAAGTGATACAAACAATAATTTAATTACTTCTTCTAAGTTTCTCTTCTTTAAATGTAACATAACAATACTGAATGATAAGATTTGAAGATTTCTGTGCTAATATACATAATGTACTCATACAATGTTTAGTATACCTTGTTGCCTTGAGCTCTGACAGAGATTAGCATGAATTCTTTCAGCATTTCAGCTTGGGCCTTCAGCATTGCTTGTACTTCAGCATCAGAGCCTATATTAGGGCAAAGAAAAGTCAAAGTGGACATTTTCCACTTAACATAACTGGGAAAAACATGCTATTTAAAGATACATTATATTGTCTTTGACAAACATATAAAATAAAATTCCAATGCGACAATTCGGTTTTCATTGAATTACAGACCCTTACTTAAAAAATCCTTTAATTAATGTTGGTAAAATTAAGTATATGTAAAGAAAATATTATTTAAGTATCTGTTAACTGGTGAAAAAATAAATTCTTTATCTAATTATAAACTGAGAGCTTACATAGTTTCTTTTTGGGTTAACATACAGAATACTTTCAAATATGTGAGGTGTGAAAAAATAAGCATGCAAAGGCAATGTCAAGAAATGTGTAAGAGTCATGTTTACCAATTTTGCAAAAGTGAATATCAGATGAGTTATTAAAACTTGAAAGAGTTTTTGAATCACATAAAACTTATGATCTATCTGAATATATAAAACTTATGCTTAGAACTAAGCAACTTATTTAGTGACAACACCTTATAGTTGCTTATTTACCAAGGTAATACGCGATTCACATTTATTGCTCGCTTCATGATTCAGGATTTGAAATGTGGCCACCTTATCCCTTTGAACTCCCCTAAACACATAGGAAACTACACTGGAAACAATCTTAAAGCCCTGTCCAGACTATCAAAATTTATTTGACAAAATCATATAAAAAATATTGTTATGATGACATCACATCATGACCATATATGGGCACATCATGGCTACATATGGGCATACAACAGTTTTTTGTCAAAGAAAATTTAATAGTCGGAACAGAGCTTAATGTACAGTGGGAATTGGATTTACAGACAGGATGGCTGACTCACCTTTTGTATGCAGTGTCATCAGACTGTCCGAGAAGGTGTGCATGATGGACGTGAAGAATGATCCAACTTCCCTTGTACTTCCTAAATTGGCTGCAAGCTCAAAGACCAGTTTCACAACCCAGTGAATAGATAGTTCTTCATGCCAGAACACCTAAAATCAATACATAAATTAGTCACCAAGACTTTTGAGTATACAGTAATATCAAAACAAATCTGGGGGGGGGGGGGTGGTTTTTCCACACAATAATCTATCACTGCTTGATCATGTTTGATATTGATCATCCAAGAGCCTATCGGTTTTATGTCACTGTATCTATGTTAATGGAAAATGTCGTATCTAGAGAGGCGTGGGGGCACACCCTAAAAAATTGCGCCTCCCCCCGCCCACATTGAAAATGTTTGAAGCAAAAACAATGACTCAAGGACATAAAAATCCAAATATATCACTGCGAGCTAGCGTCCCCCTCACTTAATCATCGAATACCCCACCTCACTTTTACACCTCCCATTACAAAACTACTAGATACACCACTGTTAATGAAATGTATAGAGCCACTCACCACTGCAAATGCTGTTATGATGCTACCTAGTTCATTCATTCTACCATTGACAGCTTTGCTACCCAGCACCTTGTAGCTTATTGTCTCACCACACAACATCAATAGATGAGCAGTACTCTCCACAGACCATTCACTTGGACAGCCTATCGAAAATAAAGAAATTACTGAACAAAAACAAAAATGCAGATGATGAATTAAATAATAATAAATATAGCACCATTTCTGATATAAATTATGATCAAAGGCAGCTTGATAAATATAGAGATTGTTTTTAAGTTGGAAAATACTGAAAAAGTTCAGCAATGTAGGGTGGCTGATGTAGTGTATTCTTTTTAAAAATAAAAAGGATAAGTTTACATGTTAGTGTTAGGTCAAAGCAGCCAATGTGATGCTATACACATTTTATTAACCGATTTAATTTTATACAATTAATACAAATCCCTTATACAAGCTTACATGTCAACTCTTGTAGGATACTAACGACATCATCATCTGTGCTGGTGCCATGCTTGAATAATGACTTGATGGCTAAAGCTAAGTCTACAAGATCGCTTGTTTTTCCATAAGAATGGTTCCCTAGCGTTTCTTCGCTCATTGCATTCCAATTAATGCCTTCTGTTATCAAATGAAAACAACTTAATTAAATAAATAATACATGAAGTATTAAGAAGAAATAAGAAGTTATAAGGTAATAAAGAAATTAAAATACTAATTAATAATATATAATTATGCTGGTAGAATCAAGTCTTCCTGGATAAGGACTTAAAATGGAGGTCCAGTGTATACATCTGGCTCGTGTGCACTTTAAAGAACCCATTGCATCTTTCGGAAGAGTAGGGGTTACCTTGATGTTATGGTTCATTTCAGACCCTGTCGTTGTGGAATGATGTGAACATGTATTTACCATGAAGTGCATATTTACGGCTGCTAGGTAATCACAGACCACGCCCATACGTAATTCAGCACAATGACGCTGCAAGTTATGGGTTATTCTCCTACCTTTACCTTTACCCTTTATTGAAGAGTCAAGAGTAGTCAAGTAAGAAGTTCAAGTTTGAAAGATGGATTTTAAATGGCTGTCAAGTTATGCAATGAATCTGATCTAAACAGCTATCCAGCAGAAGGAAAATACCATTTCATAGCCAATTGGCAGAATACAGATGATGATGAGAAACTTTTTATCAACAAGAATCCATACAGTACATATTATTGTTGAAATCGTTATACCTGTTGTGGGAGACAATGGTCCAAATAAGATGAAGAGCAACCTCGCTTGGTAGACAATTGGAAGAGTTCTGAGAATGAAACTCAGCCATACACCAAATTCAGAACAGTTTTCACATCTATCCAGGAAGACACATCGGTAGAAACATCGGACTAACAGTTCCTGCTCTTGCAGTGATCCAGGTTCATTAGACAACACCGGCACTGAATAAAGAAGAGTGGTATACAATTCCAAAATATACTACGGTATTTAATACATTAATAATTCAAAAAGTAAGAATAACAATATCATGGATGGTCTTGGCTTGGTTTGCAGTAACAAGCCCGTAGCCAGGATTTTGGTAGGGGGGCTTCTTTTTTATACTGAAAGGGCACTTGCGAGTACCATTGGCTGGGGCCAGGGGGGCTGCCAAGGGCCCCTGGGGGTCCAGGGCCAAAACCCCGGTGGGGGTCCAACATTCTAAGCATTTACAGGTGTTATTTAATTGATTTGAGAGGCCATACATTAAAAAAATGTATATATAAAAGAGGTAATTTTTTGAGTTGGGAAAAGATAAAAAACAAAAAAAAAAAACTACTACTTTAGTACTACAGTATTAGTAATTTAACAACACTTAATGATACAAACTCCAAAGAATCCAGTATGATTTATTCTATATTTTTTATTTATATAGCACTTTGGAAGTTGTATCATACCTGTCTCTTATACACATCTAGATGTGTATAAGAGACAG